TTGTACTACTTGATATATTTTGTTACTTTTGCATTTCTTTATTTCGTCATGTTTCTTAGTTTGTTAATAATATAAAAAAATATATTTTTATTTTTTTGAAGAATCTGAACGATAAGTTTTTTGTGTGTTTAAACATGCTTCTTAACAGAAAACCGTGTTTTTTTTCACAAAATTTTACGAAAGCGGANAATATGTTTTTATTTTTTCAAGGATCTAAACAATAAGTTTTTCAGGTAAAAAGTCACTTTTTTTAAATTTTGCTTTGAAAAGCTGAAAATTACCAAATTAGGTCAAAAATGTTGTTACTTTTTCATTTTTGGTCCAAAACTCATTTTTTCACTAAAACGATTCAAAAAACTCGCTAAATTAGGTTGCAAATGATGTTAATTTTGCTTTTTCAATATAAAAACTGACATTTCTCACGAGATTTCAGCGAACCAAGTCGAAAAATCACTGAATTATGACGAAAACGACATAAGGTTTGCATTTTTCGACTTTTCAGTCAAAAAATACCCTTGATTTGAACAAACCGAAATTTACCAAATTCATTTAAAATTAACGTTAGTTGAGTCAGTTTTTGTTCCATTTAGGTAATTTTTAAGCGAGAAACTTACGTATTTTGCAATATTTTGTCAAAACAGCCCAAAAAATCACCAAATTAGATTGAAAATGTGGTTATTTACAACTGTTTTGCACGATTTAGCTCGTTTATCAACTTGAAACGCAGTTTTTTCACAAAATATTTCTGAAAAACATCGAAAATGGTGATATTTTTACCTTTATTTTGTGAAAATATAGTGAAATAAAATAATTTTTATCTACTGTTTATATTCAAGAAATTCTGGTAGGTAAATACAAAATTAAACGAAATATTATAAACGACGATAAAGATTCTTTATCTACTCGTGAAAAAGTCCACTCGTAAACTTAATCTTTTCACTCGTAGATTTTTTATCGTCTTGTATAATAAATAACTATTTTTGAGCGTTTAAATATATTTTTTTGCATACGCTTCCGAATATGGCTGTTTTAGGAACTCGTTTGAGCCCCTAAAATGAGTTTTTTTCGGACTCAATTAAATAATAGGTAAAATGGTTATTTTAAGTAAGTACTCAGAACCCAATGCTTTTATTTTGTTTCAAGCATCTAAACAAGTTTTCAGGTAGAAAAGCACTTTTTTTTGAAATTAGTTCTAACAAGCCAAGCTGAAGAGTGAAGAATTTTTCAAGTGTTTTAGTACATTTTTCAGTTAAAAATGCACTTTTCTTGAGAAATTTTATCTAAACAGGCCAACAACAAATGACGTTTTTTTACCCTTTTTATACATTTCAGCATGTGGTCTAGCTAAAAACTATTTTTTGTCAAAAAAGGTGAAAAATTCGCCAAAATACATGAAAAATGACGTAATTTTAACGTGTTTTGTACGTTTGAACAGAAAAACGAGTATTTTCTTATAAAATTTTACGAAAAATTTGTAAAAAGTCACCTTTTTTCTCAAAATTTTGCTCTAACAAGCCTAAAAATCATCAAATTAAGTCAAAAATGGTCTTATTTATGCTTTCTTTGTATGTTTTTGAGCAAAAAACCCAGTTTCTTTGTTAAAACAATCCGGAACATATCAAAATTGACGCAATAAAGCAAAAAAATAGAATATTTGAATTATCTTATTGACAAAAGGTGATCGAAGTGGCTTCTAGAGGAAGATTGTTTGCAATTACTTGCCATTTGAGACTCTCATAGGGGATTTCACATTAGGTGAGTGATCATCATTGGATTTGTTTGCCTCAGAAGCCTGGACCACCTGAACGTGCAAGGTAGCGAATCTCTTATGTACTTACGAGCGGACAACAGGTAGTAGTGAGACGTAACCTGGGCCAAATTTATTCACATAGAGAGTGATTCAGCTGTGAGTGCGACAGCGAGCCTCAAATCTTTTTTAAACATTTAACCCATTTATAACCAAAAAATGTTACTTCACAATTTAATCATAAAAAAAAACAAATAAAAATCGTCCAAGAAGAAATCGATTTAACTTGAATCACACTGTGGATACGTTATCAAGATTTTTATAACGATGATGAATTTAAAATGTAATTTTTTAGAAAGATTTTTTTAATTCCTTTTGTTCTTTCTTCTCTCGTATTCGTTTTTTTATTTTTCCTCAACTTTTTTTTGTCAGTCGAATTATTTTTTTTTATCTTTCTTCATGACTTTTAATTATTTGTCAAGAAAAAGCTGTGAAATCGTAGTAATAAACGAGTTTAAAACAAAATAAAAAGTCTCGTTTATAGTTTCCTTTTTCGGTAAATGATATAGCATTTACGTTTCGATTTCTGGAAAATCTCCCAGTCGAGTCGCTTGTAGTAGTTTCTTGACCTACCTATCCAAAGCAGCAAATCCGTTTGTTGATTGATTATGTGAGCATTGATATTTCTTGATTGGTTGTTTTAATGTCCAGCAAGTAACAAAGTCGGATTTAATAGTCAATTAGTATTGTTTGGGTTCTGAAATCGTCCATGAAATGGTTTTGAAGCCAAACGGCAACATTGTCATTTTTATCCCCGACGTCATTTAATCGGTTCTTAATATGGATTTCTCGTAATTCGATTAAAAGCTCATGGTTGAGACGCAGCGGGAGTCCACGACACGGTCATCGTCTGTTAGAATTACCAAGGAATGTCGATCTAAACTCGATTTATTATGATACCAACTGAAATTTTTCCCGCCGGGAAATTCGATGATTTTTCTTTAAGGTGGCAGCCTTGGAATTCGTATTCGCGACTCGACTGACTTTGCATATTTCGTTATTTATAGTCCTGAATATGTTTTTCGGTATTTGTTTATATGTTAACAGCGGGTGGTTGGATTTTATTCGAATTTCGAAACCGATATTTTTACGGGTTTTATTGCGACTTGCTTGGAGATAACGCCATAAATAACGCGCTGTTCGTCAACGTGTAAAAAAATTCATAAAGGAGGCGAGCCGTGGGGCCCCCGACTTACATTTTAAACGAGGACAAGAGACGGATCTGTTCTTGCACACATAAATCTTGCTGCAACAAGTAGCGATTTTACAACAAATTAAACAAACAAAAAGTCTAAAGTTAAAAAATCAAACTTGTTTTTGTTGTACAAACAAACTGTGCAATTTTCAATTTTTTATTACAATTTTTGAAGTTTAGATTGTGTTTGCTTTTTTTATTTTTTATTAATTCCAAATTTCAATAAACATCTTTTCAAACAAAATATTATACATTGTCTTTGTTTTTATTTATTCCATACCGAAGAAGCCTTTAGAAAAGAACTCATAAGTATTATTTTGTTTTATTTTTCTTGGGTTGACCAGTATAAAAATCAGAATTTGACTTTTTGGTCAAAAATATTTTTTTTTGTCTTTGTAAGTAAAAAATTACCAAAAAATTATGAAATGTAGCCCAAGTAAGTGTGAAATATTTCGACGATTTTATTTAATTAGAAGTCGCGATTTTTCGTGTGCGCCTAACCTATGCCCGACCCTGTAAATACAGGCTGCGCCAGAACTCGCGCCCCAGAGAAAAATTTTAAGTAAGATAAGATACCAGGAACATGGAAAAAATGTTTAAAAAATTCTATCTGTCAAAAAATTTTGACATTTATTTTTTAACATTTGACATTTTTTATGTCTACTTAATGATACTGATGATCCTGTATATGTTTTTTTTGTGATTATTTAATAAAGGTACAGAAATTATGCCAATAAAAGCCACAAATAACAGAGTTACAATTTAGGATACAGCTTACTTGTTTCCTCTTCTAATAGCTTGTTGCAAAAAAACTTGGAAAATTATTTCTCCAACAGAAATAAATAGAGTCAAAGTGCAAACTTTAAACTCTCATAATTTCGAAATTTTTATAGATATTTTTTTTTAACATTTTTTCCATGTTCCTGGTATCTTACCTTATATGGCATTTTTCTCTGGGGCGCGAGTTCTGGCGCATCTTGTAAAGTTTTTTATATTTTTTTCTTGTAACGCTGCTTTTCCCTTCTTTATTTTGTTAGTTCTATTCCTAATCTTCACATATTTTTGTTACTTATAGTAAAATATAGTAGTTCTAAAAATTGTTTTATTAACATACACGTCGAATGAATACAGAATTTTTTAAACAAAAAAGGTGATCGAGTGTCTTCTAGGGGAGGGTCTAATTATTTTTGGGGTTATTTGGGACTCTCCATTGAGAGTTGAACTTCACTCCTAGTGAAGGACATCCCTCGTTTGCCTCAGCAAATCTTTTATGTACTTAAGGATGGAAAGCAGGTAGTAGTGAGACGTAACCTGGGCCAGGTGAAACTAAGAAAAATAATGCATTATCCTATCTGACTCACCCTGTTTATCAATTCCACAAATTTTATTCTTAATTTACACAAATTTTTATTATAGTCATAAATTTAATACAAAAAATGTTGTTTCATTCACACACAGTGTGATTTAGCTGTGACGGCGAGCACCACATTAAAGCAACATTTTTTTTCAAACATTTAAACTAAAATTTAGACAACAAAAGGGAAAGTTGCATTTGTTTCAAAAATGCACAATTTAATCAATTTTATTTAACACCCTGTATAACAAAAACAAATAGAAATCAGCCAAAAGTTGCAAAAAATTACATAGAAAATTGCATGACCAACCAATCTGAATTTAGTATTTAATATGATTACCATAGCAACACAAAAATTTTCCGAAATTTCTTGACTCATTAGCTAAAATTAATAAGTGGAAATTTTTTTGCCACAAAAACTAACTCAAAGATTTAGTAAAATTATTTTAAACATCAAAAACTAAGACTTACTGTAACGGGTAAAAATACTCAGACTTGCCAAAAAAATAATTTATTAACTAACAATTAACAGTTCTTTCAGTATTTTAACAGTTAAACGTCTCTGGATACATCCCACACCATGTAAATAAACATTTCTGTTTCTCAAGTTAGTTTTGCCGGTCTGGGAGGCATTAGGCATGAAACGGGGCAGAGTGTATTGCGCTCAGTTTTAGAAACAGGTATAATGAGGCTACTAAGGGTCGCTAATTCTTAAGGTAAACTGCGCTCAGTAGCATCACAACGGGGCACCCACCCATGGGTTGGTGCTTCAAACTTTTAGGGAGCACTTCTTCGGGTGGACTTTTTAATGACCTATTGCGGCCGGCACTTGACATTATTCTCTGGGATACGAGTTCTGAAATACCCTGTATTAAAAGGTATGTTTTAATTTAAAAATAAAATATTGAAAGAGAAGCAAATAGATCGATCGATCCACTTTTGTGAAATGTCTATTTTATAAGTTTGATCAAATTTTTAAAACACTGTTATGTAATGTACACCTATACATATTTGTGTTCAGTAAATGTAAATAATAACCTATTTTGTTTTTGTTTATTTCAAAGTGCAAAGTACATTTTTGCAACTGGTTCATCCTCATTTTCATTAGCCTGAAAATTTAATAATTTAATTCTTTACATCACGCTGAGACATATCGACCGACCTAAGCGCAGTTCACATAGAGATTAGAACGCAACGCAGGTAATTAAAAATTTTCTGAGCGCAATCCACTGTAGGGATTAAAATGCCGTCCTTGAAGTGAGCGCAATTCACCGGCACCCCATGAAACGCTAGAGTATCAACATTTGTTGGGTTAACACCAGTACCAACTTAATTTTGTGGGAGTGAGGGGCGTTTAGGAGCCTCACTAATTGTTTGGGTATCGTTGAATACAACATCTGGTACCACTAAAACAAAAGAGACGTTATTTGTATAGTTATTTTTGAGTTCCTGTTACCCTAATATAGTTTATAGTTGAATATTTTACCGTATCGTGTTACCTTGTATCTTTGTCAGAAGTTTCGGAGCAGATTTACCGTTTCCGTTTTATCGTTTCTGGGTTCGTAATCCATAAGATGCAATGTTTACGTTAGCTGCGATATTTTGAAGTAACTTACAGTATTGTTGGCACCAACTTTGAAAGGAGTTGGATGAAGGCGTGTTCCCTCTCAGTCCCTCGCGTTTATTAGTAGTGTTGCTATGAGAGGGGTACAAGGAGTGGATAGTCCTGGAGCGCTTTGTACCGTCCTCTTGGAGTATGTGGGCAACTTCTCCAGGTTAATTTTAGCGCCTTCGTGCCTTCTGTGTTCGTCTCGATGAGTTCTCGGGTGTCTCATTGTAGATATTAAATTTTTTCGTCCTTCTTTGTCTGCATCTGACTTAAGAGCACAACTAGAATGACTACTGTTTACTACCGTTCCGAATAATTTAATTTTACTTACCGTATTCTCGAGTCAACATTTTTTTCTTGATCTATCGTTTGTCTAATTCTAACTTGTTTATTTACTTTCACATAACCTCTCATCCGTCACCTGTCCAAAAATTTGGCAACCCCACTGCGCAGATACTTTGCAGTACTCGATACGACCTTATTGGCTCATTTTTCGCGGTTTTAACTAAGAAAAACCTAGGTTTTAAAAGGAGGAAGATGCGAAATTTCAGGCTCTTTTCGGTTTGGTTTGCGATGTAAAATTATTGAGTTTTTACCAAAAGCGCAACCTTCTTACATAAGAGTTACCGCTAGTACCGAATGCGCTGCAGAGTGGTATTCAACCCAGCTGACGAATTTTTGAGAAAGAAAAACTCTTCTCAACTTTAGTTTCTCGAGAAATAAGTAATAACTTAGGTGAGACCTTAAACAGTGTTTTTGGAAGATAATACTAGAGAGAGAACAGTAAAACCTCCCTTAACGGATACTAGATAGCGGACACCTCTTGATAAAGGACATTTTTGTAGGAACGTATCCAATACATAGGAGTGTAATTAATGTAAAAAGTCTACTAAAACAGGTACTAAAGTCTACTCTAAAGGAGATACGAACAAAAATACTCCGCCACTGGTGGTTACGACCATGGAATTTGTAAAATAAAATGGAGCTGCCATTTGGTCCTCAAAACTGGAAGCAACAGTGTACAGTTAAATGTTTTTGTTGCATTACCACCTACTTACCCACTTCAATAATAAGTAACATAAATGAATGGTTGATGAACTTTTATATAAGATTCAATAATTACATTAATGAATTGCAGAATACAGAATAACCCCAAGAAAAACTTGTTAGTTAGAGTAATGAACTTCAAAAGCGTAATCAAAAGAACTTTTGGTCTAAACAAACAAAAATTAACGATTTTTTTTAAATAAAAATGTTTTTTTCTAATTTTTTTGTAATGCTTTTAATTTCTCAGTTTTTGTTATTTTATTTTGTTATTTTGTTATAATGCGTAATAAGTGTAATAAATGTAAATAAGTTACGAGTATATCAGTAGAAGAAGGAAGAAGGCATTGAAGCAATTTAATGACACAGGAGACCAAAACGTTGAATGCAGGGGAAAAGATAAATTTCGCATCCAGGTATTTCTTTCCACAGATCGACAAACTGAAAGCTGAGTTCGGATTTTTGAGCTCCTTTCCAGTTATCACCATGGAGGAAATCAAAGAAAAATGCTCAAAGTTGCTCGAAACTTACAAAATTACAAAGAAGATCTTCATCATAACTTGGAAAGTAAATTGCTTCAAATCAAGGACCTCTGGGTCTTTCGTCTAATGGACTTACTAAAAAAATTGAAGCTGGAAAATTTTGATCTTGTAATTTTGTTGAGAATCTTCGCCTCTAAAGCGGTGACTAATTTTACAAGTAAAAGATTGTTTTCAGCATTGAATAAAGGAAAATGCCATATCAAACCCTAATATGTAAAAAAGTGTTAGTAAAACAGAAAAAAATCAATGGGGGGAGAAGCCGAAATTTTCTTAGGGCTTTGGGCGCCAAATTGGGTTAATACGCCACTGCCTTCAAACCTTCCCATCTCTCTTTTTTCGCCGCATAGCAATTAGGTAATTCTCAATTTCCTATCAGGCCTTCTTCTTTGTACCGGAAAATCTGAAGAATCTCGACTCTTACGAACTGTTCCTGTAAGGCCCGGAAGTTTATTACCCGTACCTGCCGACAAACCCATTCTTGAGGAACCAGAGCATCATCAAGGATATCGGCGATTAGCTTCTGGAGATTCAGGAACTTACGAGATCTCCAGTCTATTTGCGTCCATGTTGCGCTGAAACTAGCGCAAAATTTTTAAATGTTTTTTGCAAGTCTAGAAATTTTTTAAGCCTATATTTTTTGACATTTTCTTAGTCTCCCCAACTGTCTTTTCTAACACGATATTTTAGACAGTCTCAATTTACATTTTTAAATTTGAGCATTTCGATTTGAGAAATTTTTAAACGTTTTTTTTTTGCAAACCCTATTTTTTTGCCTTCGTAATACGTATTTAATTCCCGGTTTTTATTTTGTAAATTTAATTTTTATTTCGTTTCCATTGTATCTCTAGTTTCATTTTTAACGCCCTTGCGCCCTATTATGACACGTGGCTCTTAGGATCGTAAGATCGCGTCTTAAGTAATTTCTCATTTTGTTGTTTTTTTTTGCTCGGTAGAGCTTATTATTTTGCATTATTTTGTTTAATTTAAATTTCTTTTTTTTGGTAACCGTACTATCTGTTTTTTTAAGTACGTTTATGCAGACCGCTCCACGGTTGCGGCTCTGCCACTAAATTAACTACATTTCTCATAATTAAACCGTGGTGGCGCCCATTTCTTTTTTTTGTTTCTGTAATTTTTTTATTGTACCACAATATTTTCGCCTATTAAACCCAATTTTAGGTCAAAATTTTATTAATTGGGTCATGACCCCGCTCTGCCACTACCTGAGCTGTCGTATGGTAACCAATATAAAACTGTCGTGGGAAAAAATATTTTCAAACAAAAAATGATACATTGTCTTTGTTTTTTATTTATTCCACACCGAAGTAGCCTTTAGAAGACGACTTATATTATTTTTATTGCGTTGGTCAGTATAAAAATCAGAATTTGACTTTTTGGTCGAAAATTAATTTTTTTTTTGGCTTTGTAAGTAAAAAATTACCAACAAATGTACCTTAGATAAACCCAAGTAAGTATCAAAAATTTCGACGATTTTATTTAATTAGAAGTCGCAATTTTACGTGTGTGCGTAACCGATGACAGACCCGGTATACTATTTTTTGTGACGCTGCTTTCCCCTTCTTTATTTTGCCAGTTCTATTCTTAATTTCTACATATTTTTGTTACTTATAGTAACATACATTGTATAGTTGTCCCAATTTTTGTTATTAACATACACGTTGATTCAGCTGTGACGACGAACTTCACCAGTTAATTTTGGAAACAAAAAAGGTGATCAAAGTGGCTTCTACAGGAGGATGTTATTATTTTTCCGATTTGAAACTTTCCATTGAGAGAGTTGAATTCACTCTTGGTGAAGTGATCATAATTTGTTGCCTCAGAAAGCAGGACCACATGAAAGAATAAGGCCGCAAATCTTTTATGTACTTACGGTTGGAAAGCAGGTAGTAGTGAGACGTAACCTGGGCCAGGTAAAGCCAAAAAAGATAATGCATCATCCTCTCTGACTCACCCTGTTTATCTATTCCACAGATTTTATTCTTAATTTACACAAATTTTTATTCTAGTCATTTAATGCAAAAATTGTTGGTTTATTCACACACAGGGTGTTTCATCTGTGACGGCGAGCCCCACTAGTGAAGCAACTTTTTTTTTCAAACATTTAAACTAAAATTTACACAACAAAAGGAAAGGTCGCTTCTGTTTCAAAAATGCTCAATTTAATCAATTTTATTTAGCATCCTGTATGACAGAAATAAATTGAAATCAACTAAAAATTGCAAAAAATTACTTAGATAATTGATTGATTAATTAATAGTTTGAAAAAAATCCAATAATGATAATTGGTTAGAAAATTATTAATTACATGTTTACAAGTAAGTAATACGCAATTTTTCAAACTAGTTTACAGGGTGGCTCCGCTACGTTTTTTTAATGATTACACTGGGTGACTATGTTTGTATTTGTCAAAAATAGAAATCCAGTTTTGCAAAATATTTTGGTTTGCCAAAGGCCAGTGGAGAGATGTTTCTAAAGAAAATTATGAAAATGTATACAGGATGTGTCTTTTATTTTGTCTAGACTTGTGCTTTCGTATTTTTTTTTAAATATGTCAACCACGAATTTAGCTTAATTGTTGTCATAACCGCTCAAAATCTCGGTCAACATCCCTTCTTAAACAAAAGAACCCGCTCCGAATTTGACAGTTTACCGAGAAAATCCTCTTGTTTCAGCCGACAATTTTTATTTGTTCGAGATTTCCCATGCGTCGGAAGTTAATCAACGCAATAAAAACCGGTATCTAATCTAATCAAGACGGCTGCGACTCACTTAAAAAAAACAAGATATTCGAATGTCAAACAAATGACCCTGAAAAAGACAATCGTTGTCGGGTTAGAGTTTAACAGGATTTTTACGACGAAAGCACCGTAATATTATTGTCCGATGCGGAAGAAAGTCGGCGGAACAAAGAAGGCCGACCATCTGGACGGGAAAACCAGCGAAAATGGGCTTTCGGGGGAAACCCCGTGAAAAGGGATTTTCACTAAAAAATTACAAACACTACTAGATTACGAGACAAGGATTTGGTTTTTTACGAGTGAATGGCGGGTAATGCAGGGCCGCACCTCCCAATTGCGTCTAATTGTTATTTATTAGCAGGGACGGACTCGGCGAAATTGGCCTTTGTCATTTTTAGCATTGTTCGCGATGATGGCATTCGAATAAATAATAATTAAGTAGGTACCAAGTGTGAATATTTTTCCAGTAGTAAATACTTTTTTTAATAACAGCAAAAAAGTCACCAAATTGCATTTTTTGTTCTTTTTTATTAAATTCAATTTAATTAAAATTCTTTAAAACGTTCCTGTATTAAAAATAAATTAAACTTTAAAATCTGGCCCAACATTAAATCGTAAAGAAAACCTTTTTTACTAACATCCAAAATTTTGCTTTACTATTATTAATAATAAAAAGTGTTGAAGAAGAAAGGAAGACATTTTTAAAATTATCCTGAACAATTTGAATAACCTGGCAACGCCGCAATCAAAATTTAAAGCCAAAATAATATAAACTAATAATACGTGCAAAAAATTTAAAGAAAAAAAAAGTACGGTCCTGGCATATCAAAACCTCAAACATTTTTTCAAATATTTAGTTGAAATTGATTTGACACATATACAGAGGTGTCAGAACTCGCGTCCCTGAGAAAAATTTCAAGTAAAATAAGATACCAGAAACATGAAGGAAATGTTTACAAAATTTTATGTCAAAAAATTTTGACATTTATTTTTTGACATTTGACATTTTTTTGTCTATTTAATGATATTGATGATCTTGTACATGCTTTTTTATAATTATTTAGTAAAAGTA